CCCCCCCCCCCCAAAGCTGCTTTTCTTCCAGCCTCAGGACCTGAGACTGTGGCTCCAAGGCCCTGGTCACTGAGAACTCGGGTTTGGCCTGGACCCTCTCCCTTCCCTCTCAATGCTCAGTCCTGCTTGGCTCTCTCACAACACCCCCAGGGCATCAGAGGGGCCACCACAGTCTCCTCTCTGTCCCTGACAATCCATCTCATGCACTGCTGCCACACTCATCTTTCTTGGCATGGATCTGTGCATCCCTTTCTGCTCTAATACCTTTAGTCACTCCCTTGCCCACTGAGACAAGACCAAACTTCTTCTGGCATTCAAGGCCCTGCAGTCTTCCTTGTCCACTGCTGTATTACTCCCTACCACATACTCTCAACTCTAATTCAGACCCACCTCTGCCCACAGAATGAGGGCTGCCCACTCGCTTACGTCTGTGCCTTTGTTCACACCATTCCCCTCCACCCCACCTGGGAGGTCTTACCTGTCCTTTGAAGCCCACCTCCTCCAGGCAGTCTTCCCCCACCACACTGCCACCCCTCCCTCAACATCTGTGGCAGCTTCCTGAGCCTCCTCTAAACTTTGTATCTCCCTCAGTCTTGGGGCAGGTGAGGTAAGTCACACAGCAGGGCAGAAGAAAATATTAGGTCTGTGCTCTCCCCTCCCTGCAGTCTAGCCAGCATCTGCTAATGGCCCAGCTTCTTCCCTGGGCCAGGTCTCTCATTCTCCATGGGCACCCCGGTGCCAACTCACCCATCTGGAGCCCTTTCTGGGTTGCAGTGGTATCCTTCCCATACCTTGGGAGAGGCAGGACCAGCCCATGCAGCCTTATTTGACAGATGAGGAAATGGAGGCACATGACTGACGGGGCATAGCCAGGAAGGGACAAAGGATCAGCCTCTGGCAGGTGTTCACGGGCATGTCCACAGCAGGGAGCAGACATGAAGGGTGCTGAGGACCCCGCCCTCAGCAAAGAGCAGGGGATGGGGAAGAGCCTTGAAGCTGTAGGCTGCGGATGATAGAGGGAGCCCTGAAGAGGTTTGCACTGGGGAGGGGGCAGCAGCCGCAGGAGGGTCCTGGTGGGTGGCAGTGGGGGAGAGCCAGAGGGGGCATCTCTCTGTGACGGCCCGGCTCCACCTGCAGCCCCCCAAGGGGCCCGCCCCATCCAGAGGCTTCACCTGTAAGACAAGAGGGAGACAGGCCATGGGCCCCAGCTCCCTCCTGGCATCTTTTGGGTCCTTGATCTGGGTGGGGGATCTGGGGAAACCTGGCCCTGGATCCACTCCCTCTCCACAGTCCCTGTTTCCCAGCCCACGTGCATAAGGAAGGAGTCCCACTGATGCTCTGAGCTCTGCATTCACTTCAGGTTTCTTCCCAGCTCTAAAAATAGCCTTGGAGCCCGAGTATTTTTGCTGCAGAAACAGGACACCAGCAGGTCCCAGGCACGTGCCAGCAGCGTCAGGAGGTGGGGAAGGGGCTGTGCAGCGGGCACGTTCAGAGCCTGGCAGGCCCCCGGGCTCCCTCACCAGCCAGGCCAGGGCAGCCAGCAGCCCTAGGGGTGGCCTCATCCTGAGGCAGATGTTTGCCAGGGTGGAAGGAGAATTGGAAAATTTGCGGAGTGCCCCTGGCAGGCGGGTGGGCTCAGCAGCTCTTCAGAGCCCAGAGCTCCAGATCGGGGTGGCCCCAGCCTGGCCCCCTGGAAAGCCCTCAGGAAGTCTGGGCTCACTCAGCTCTGTCAGCCAGGCCTCACTCTCCTGAGTGTACTGAGGTAGAGGCTGGTGGCCTGGTCCAAGAGCCGAGGCAGATGCCCTGGCTTTGAATGCTGACTCTGCCATGCACAGCTGCCCTCTCTGGGCTGCTTCACTTTCCTCCCCCATACATCGAGGGCCCTGGATAACATGTTCCAGTCCCTTGGTACTCTGAGGCCCCAGCCCTGCCCAGGGTAAACCCAGGTGGGCATCTGGTCTGCCCATGGCCTCACATGGAAGGCGGCTCTCCTGGAGAGCCTGGGCTCTGAGCTGGTCTCCATGAAGCCCTCATTTCGGGCTGCTGTCCATGTTGTCCCCCAAGACCCCTGGGGACACTTTGGTGACATCACAGGAGGGTTCAAGGAGGCTCAGCCAGAGTTTCAGCTGTGACTGAGCCTCACGTCCAGCCTCCCCTGGCCCGGGCAGGCCTGAGACTCCTTCTCCACCTGCACTCCACCGGACAGGAATCTTGGGGCAATCTCTCCTGGTCTCCCTGCTTCTGCACACAATCTGATATCAGGTCCTGCCCATCCCCCTCCCAGTTTCTCCTCTAGTCCCTGGTCCAGCGCCCCCTCGTCAGATGGCTTTCGGGCCTCTCCCCTCCCTCCATCGGGGGCCAAACTCCTGTTTCTCGCAGCTGCTCCAAGGCCTCTTGATGCTCCCCGTTGCCTCCTCCATAAGGGTCAGTCTCCTTGGCCTGGCATTCATAGTCCCTACCCACCCGGCTCCTAGCGGCCTTTCCGGCCCTCTGGAGCACACCGTCCAGGTATTCGGGGTTCCAAACAAATGCCTCTTTTCTTCTTCATTACTGTCCCTGTGGGTTCCAGACTCTGCCCTCATAGAGGCCATGGTGGTTTGTGATGGTCGGGCTCTGGGGTCACCGTGTGCCTGGAGATGGGGCCAGCCCTCCGTGGCTTCTCTCAGGTGGCCCTCGAGAGTTTCTGCAGCTCAGACATCCCTGGGTAGGCAGCTGTTCCGTCGTGTCTGACTCTCCGTGGCCCCATTCGCGGTTTTCTTGGCAGAGACACTGGAGTGGTTTGCCATTTCCTTCTCCAGCTCATTTTACAGATGAGGAAACTGAGGCAAGCAGGGTAAAGTGACTTGCCCAGGGCCACACAGCTAGGAAGTGTCTGAGGCCAGAAGTTTTCCTGACTCCCGGCCTGGCGCTCTGTGCACTATGGCACTGCCTAGCTGTCCAGGCAGTCCCTGTTACCCTTCCAAACAGCCCTGCTGGAGCACAGCCCCCTTGCCTTCCCTGGGGGGAAGCTGGATTTCCCGCTGGGTCTGGGTCGGGGTTTCAGGGTACTTCCCAAGCAGTTACCTGGCTGGCCCATCTGCCCCTGGGCCTCAGCAAGCCAAGTCAATGCCAGGCATCATGCTAAATGCTGGGAATACAAAAGAAACAGAAAACCTGCCCTCTGAGGGCTTACATTCTGTTGCGGAAAGACAATACCCCAGAGCAGATAGAGAAGGTGTCAAGGAATAGGTGTGGCGCCTAGAGCCCCCTGGGAGCTGAGCCTTGGGAACCCTGCTCATGGAACATCCTTGGGCGTTTCTGCTAGTGAAGGGCAGGCAGTCCCTAGAGGCCAAGTGCTGAAGGGGCTGGGGCGGGGCCCTGCCCTCCTGCCCATCTCCTCACATTCTTTCCAAGACTCACATCCTGTTTGAAGATGTCCCTGGGTCTCGAGTGGGAAGGGAAGTGGCCCTTGGTAAACAGCATCAGGAAACCTGGATAAGCCCCAGGAGAGGTCCTGACCCTGCCCTGGGCCCCACCCCCTCCTTCCTCTCTAGCAGGATGAAGCCTGGGCACTTCACTGTGGGGGGTGGGTCTGGCCCCCCCCTTCCCCTCCCCCACAGGCTCTGGTCCCTTTTAGGAACCATCAACTTAACTTGGCACCTGATCTGTGGCTGTTGCCTCCTGGTTCACTTAACAGATGTCTCTGCACTTTCAAGTTGGACACAAGCTCATTGGAGCCTATGGGGAAGGCCTGGTAGGTATAATTATTACCCTTTTACAGATGAGGCAACTGAGGCCAGAGTGCTTTATCAGTGACTTAGCTCAGTGTCTGACAAAGGAGGCATGGAATAAAGTGCTGGGTTAATGCCATCATCGCTAGCTGATGTCCGAGGCAGGGGACTGCTGGAAGGGACCTCCGAGGTCACCTAGCCCAACCCTCTCCATTTTACAGAAGAACAAATGGAGGCCTAAGGAGGTGGGGTGACTTGACCGAGGTCTCACATGTTGTAGAGGAGTGCAGCTCTTACCCCTCGTCCCAGGCAGTGTCTCCTCCATCCTTTCCAGGATTGTCTGCACTGGGAGCTTTGGGGGCACATGACCTCATAGATAGTGACTTGGTGGGAGGCTGAGGCATATAGGGGTCAGGAGGTTATCTCTTACCTTCCTCTGCCTTCCT